ACACACACACTAAATAAATGTTAAAAAAAATAATAAAGTTTAAAAAAGATTTAACCTTGGCTGTCTGTGTCGGGCTGCTTACATAGATAGCTTAGTTTTAGCTTGCAAGGACTCTGTGCTTTGTGCCCAGAACACCCTGGCCCAGCCAGGTACACTCTATAACTCCCCTTCCCCATTCCCACCCACCCAGAACACCCTGGCCCAATGAAGGAATAGTAGATGACTCCCCTTCCCCATTCCTGGGGACTCCATAAAGTCCCTGTCTCCCCAGCCTTCGCTGCTGTTCAGGTCCACTGAGCAGCCCGGCACATGCTAGCTGCCATCGATACACGGCTCCTTTCGTGCCAGCTAACGTGAGTGTGGTCTTGTGCGGGTTCAACGGCACCTTTTCCAGACAGTTTTCCTGTCAATCAGCAGTGAGGCTTCTCCTTCTGTCTCCTCACCAACACTTGTTATTACCTGTCTTTTATCACGGCCATCTAAGCAGGTGTGACAAAGTATCTCATTGCTTTGATTTGCATTTTCTTGGTGGCTAATGATGCTGAGTATCTTTTCTTGGGCATTTGTATATCTTCTTTGCATATGTATCTCTCTGTACATCTATTCCAGCCAGGCATGGTGGTGCAGGCCTGTAACCCCAGCATCGAGAGGCTAATGTAGGAGTAACGCCATGAGTTCCAGGCCAGCCTGGGCTACGTAGTGAGTTCAAAGCCAGCCTGTATTACATAGTGAGACCCTGTCTCAAAAAAGAAAAGAAATACCTATTCTGGTCCTTTGCCTATGTTTGATTGAACTAATTTTTTTACTGTTGAGTTGCAATAGTACTTATATATTCTAGATACAATCTCTTACCAGTTACATGATTTGCAAAAATTTTCTCCCATTTTGTATGTAAATTGTCTTCCTCCTTTCTTGGTTCTATCCTTTTACTTTAAACTTAAATATATGACTATATTTGATGTTAGATTTTACAGACAGAATATTACTGGATCACTTATTTAACTAATTTGGATAATTTAATTTTTCTCTTTTCACTACTGTGTTTAAGCCATTAATATTTAGTATAAATTACTCACATATTTGAATTTAGGTCTGCCATTTTATCAGTTGTCCTTGATTTGACATCATTTTTTTTTTCTCCAAATGCCTTCAGGGCAGATTTGGCTGGCTGGAGTTGTGGGGATCGAACCACAGCAACCTGAGCCTGACTGCTTTGTTGAAGCAGCTACTTAAAGAACTGAGCTAAGGGGCAGGCCCCCCCCTTTTTTTTAATGGAACCAGGGATTGAACTCAGGCCCTGGCGCTTGCCAGGAAAGCGCTTATTCCACTGAGCCATCTCCCCGGCCCTGACATCATTTTCTTGTTTTCCTGTTTTACATTTCCCTGCTTCCCATTGCGTTATCTGAATCTTTTCTAACATTCTATTTTTGTCCCTGGGGTGGTTTTTTACTATGTCTCTTTGTATAGTTCTTTGCTCTTTTTTATGGTTGCCCAAGGAACTGCAAGAGACACGCTTACCTTTTCACAGGCAGCTTAGAAGCAGTCACTTCATCAATTCAGAGGAGAGGTAGAAACCTTCCCACCACCATTCTGACCCCTACGTGGCCACTTTTCCATTTCTGTCTTGTGTAGTCTGGCAATCGGTCTTGTATTTAGGGTTTACAGTCTTATTTTGAAGAACTCAGGAGTCGTGAAACAGTCTATCCTATTTGCTACATCTGTGGTTCTTCCTGCCTGCTGCTCAGGTTTCCTTCTTGTACCTTCCCTTCGCACTTGGACAAGCCACGCCATGTTATTCTGACACTCGTGGTTCAGAGACGACACCTGCAGCAGAACCTGATCGGTCCACCTGTGATGTCTTGTTCCTCTTTTCCCGCTCTGCAGTAACCGTCTCTGTCTTTCGTATCCTTAGATCAATCGTGGTGTGTCTGGGCATGTGTGTCCTTGAGTTTATCTTTTTTGGAGGTTGTTTACCTTCTTCCACTGGTCAGTTTATTTCTTTTGCCAAATTTGAGACTTTTCAGTCAATACGTTTTCAAATACTTTTCCTGTACTACACTCTCTTCTCTCCTGGAACTCTGATAATGCCAGTGTTAGACCTTCCAGTATTATTTGTCAGATTCTTCAAGCATTATGTTTTATAAATATCTCTCTCTCTCTCTCTCTCTCTCTCTCTCTCTCTCTCTCTCTCTCTCTCTCGGCAATCTCCAATAACCTTCAAGTTTCTTAACTCTTACCTATCTTTACTCCTCACATTTCCACTTGGTTGTTTATCTATCTATTCTGCTTCCTTGTGAATACTTTCTTTCCTCCATTTCTACACCAGAGCTCGGGGTGGTCGCCAAAGAACAAACTGAACGGGGTTCAGAATGGGAGAAGCACCCTATCATGGACCTACACCCAACTCTTTTTATTTTTTATTTTGAGACAATAAAAAGTATCTCTCTAAGTTGCTCAAGCAAGCTTTGGATTTCTGATCCTCCTGCCTCAGCCGTTGTAGAAGCTGTGGATTAGTGGGCAGGTCTGGAGGCGGGTCTGGAATTGCTGAGTGACCAGTGGGCCGCCCCCAGAGTGCAGGCTGGGGACAGCTAGCTGAGACAGGTGGAGAGCACGTAGTAGGGGTCCAGGTACTGGAAGGAACGGAAGGACCCACACAGGGACTTGCGGAAGCTCTAGCTTGCTGTGTGGCCTCGGGCCAGCAGCCTGGGTGAGCCACAGGGTCTGGAGGGCAGCCTGGGCACACGGAGCACACACGGGCTGCCCCGGGCTGCCTTCCCGTCCGACACAGCTGCAGGAAGGTCGCAGGGTCGCACGCACCCATGTTCTGAGCAGGGCTGCGGCCGTCTGCTCCCTCAATCTGAACACTGGAGACTTCGGCAGTGCAGCACAGACGCTGCGCGGGGTTCAGGCCGAGCGCGAGGAGCCAGCTTGGCTCCCGCGCTGCCCCTGCAGCCCCCACCAGTCACCTACGCTCTTCAGTCATCCTGCTGGTGCCGGGGCGACCTGTCCAGAGGCACCTGCGGGTCGACCCATGTGCGGCTGGGGAAGGGGCCCTCTCCCTGAGCACCTGTCGTTTTCAGAATGCGGGAGCTCCTGCTGTAGGAACCCGGGCGGCAGCGCCCCTGCTCTGCCTGCACTTCCTACAAAGGCGCCACCTTCTGGCCATAACGGGAAAGGCTGGGGGAGGAGGCCAGAGCAGGGAGGGTTTGCAGCTCCCTCGGGAACTGCAGCTCTCCCAGCAGACAGAGGACCCAACCTTGACCCACTTGCACAGGGAACCTAGCCAGTCAGGGCAGAGAGAGGGCTGCAGAGGGCAGGGGTGCCAGGGAGGTGTTGGTCAGAGGGTGCAGGCTTCACACAGACAGCAGGGCAAGTCAATGGTGATGCACTGTAGCCCCACAGGGTGGCAGGGCACACCTGTTACTCCAGCCAAGGAGGATGCTGAGGCAGGAGGGTCACAAATCCAAGCCCAGCCTGGGCAATTTAGCAGTAGCACAAGATCCTATCTCAAAATAAAAAGTAAACAAGAGCTGGGAATGTGGCTCAGTGCAAAGGTCCTGGGTTCAATCCCCAGGACCCCACAAAAAATAAAAATACTCAAGAATATCTAGATGGTAAATTTTAAATGTCTTTCTATAAAAATAGTAAATATATAGGTGATGGTTTCATATCAATTACTTGTTTTTGTTTTTGTTTTTGTTTTGAGACAGGGCCTCGCTATGCAGTTTGGGCTAGTCTTTTACTCACTTTTGTAGCCCCCAGGCTAGTCTTGAGCTCTCAGAGATCCTCCTGTCTCAGCCTCCTGAGTGCTGGGGTCACAGACATGCATCCAGTTCTCATGTCATGTCAATTCTCTCATTTTAACAAAACATTTCAACAAAAAGTATTCATTCTAAAATCTTAATTTTTTTTTAATGTAAAAAAGAAAGTTCCTGCTCCTTCTAAGTGCAGGTGCCACAAGCCTCCCAAGTGAGGTCACTGCACAACCTCGGGGTTCTCTGAAGCCCACCACGGAAAGTGAAGAGAACAGGAAAACAGGACTTACTCCATCCTGGGAGGACAGGCCCCCTCCAGCTCCCTTTGCAGAAGCCGGGGCTCCTCTACAGGAGTGCTTGTGCTCGGCTCTGGGCTTCAGCCAACCTGAGCCCAAGCTGGGGCCTGGGAGGGGTACAGGGGAAAACTTGCTGGTCCATGACACCTGGAATTTGGGAGTCCTTCCCTTCTCATGACCACTGGATTTCCAGGGATGTGACAAAGAACCTGAATAATCAGCTTAAAAAGAAGAAAATGGAGCCAGGCATGGTGGTGCATGGCTCTTATGCCAGCACTTTGAAGGCTGAGGCAGGAGGATCACCATGAGTCTAAACCCAGCCTGGGCTACATAGTGAGACTCTGTCTCCAAAACAAAACAAAAGAGGACTGGGGAGATAGCTCAGTGGAATAAGTGCTTCCCTGGCAAGCGCAAGGGCCTGAGTTCAATCCCCGGTTCCGCCAAAAAAAAAGAAAGAAAAAGAAAAAAGAAAAAAAAAAGATTAGCAGTTATTGACTCTAGGAGGGAAATCTATGCAGGAATATTGTGTAATTCTTCCAACTTTTTTATATGCTTAAGATTTTCTATAATAAAAAGTTAAGGAGGGGCTGGGGAGATGGCTCAGTGGAATAAGTGCTTCCCTGGCAAGCGCAAGGACCTGAGTTCAATCCCCAGTTCCGGAAAAAAAAAAAAAAGTTAAGGAATAAGAACTCAAAAGAAGAAATACAAATAGAAAGGTATAATGCAATTAAAAGGAAAGCAAGAACTTGAGGACTAGACAATGAAGAGAAAGCAAGGAGAACTAGGAAACATGACAGGGGAAGCCATACAGTTATATGTACAAGATGGGTAAGGTAATGATCCTGAGAATCTTCAGAAGATTTTCGAATCTAGCAGTTAACTGGAAGGATTCTCACTCTGACTAGCTATATATACTGACACCTGTGAACTAAGCAACTGCACTGAAGATGGCAATTTGTAATAGTAGGGTCATGCTTGGAGTGCCTGCCATTCTGGTCTTCTGAATACATGCTGCTTGTCATGACATGCCAGTTGCTGCCGTGCTGTCTCTCGGGTAGATGATTGTTTAAAAAGGAAGAAGGTGGTGAATGAAGGCAGGAGACAGGAAAAGGAGTGTTGCGGGACTGTCCTGCTACAATGCTATATATGGTTAGATTTCTGGACGTATGTGTAAACATATAATTCTTTATTCCTATTTTTATTTTTATTTTATTTT